TATATAATGTATAAAATCACCCACTGTATGTTTTAAAAGTTTCATGGAACATCGCAAACTATGAGGAAAATTGTTAAAGTAAAATATGTCGAATGGAGATGTTCATCTTTCTTTCCTTAATAATTTTGAAGTTTTCATCAGAATATTTTTTTCTATAGACTATTTGAGACATATTTTTCTTTGGAAAAATGCTCAAATACGTCTTTTATGCCCCCTTCATATTTAAACAAAAAATAGAAAGAAAAAAAACGCGCAAAAATAGAAAGAAAAGATGATACGCGCATAAATCCATTCCATTTCCTTTTCAAATCGAAAATGTAACTTAGCATACCATTTCATTTTTCCATCTGTTAGATTCTTTCAAGCTTTCTGTTTCAAAGTTCTTTTCATTCAACTGTTTCATTTTTAAGCATGAACGCTCCAAAAACGTGGAAGATCAAAAAGGGATTTTGAAACAATCATACTAGTTTAAACAAATAGAAACTTTTATTTACTTGTGCCGGATTAGAAACGCATGAAAAATATCACATATACAAAAAATATTTTTTTTAATGAATAAGGAGTATTTCGAATACTTTTTTAGTTTCATATTTGTAAAGTGCTTTATATTTAATTGTTTTTAAAATTTTCGAGGCTTTAACAAACTAATTTGAAGGAAAAAAAAACATGTACAGAAATTGCAACTTATTATTTTTTCAATTTAAAGCAGCTGAGATGAAATTATTTTAAACAAATATGTTCAAAAACGAGAAAAAAATGTCTGAAAGATTTAGATGTATTGTATCATTACCCGTATATGAATAGTGTATGTAATTATAAAATTTATTGCTTAAAAATAACTCGTTTAATAATAGAGGTAAAGTCTTAAAAATTATTTTAACAGAATGAAATATATTTATGAGCCATCATCACTATATTTTCCATACCATATATAAGTTAAAAATATAAAGAATGTATGTAAAAAATAAGGATTAATGAAAAGAGAAGAAGAAAATACTAAAATAAAATATTTTTAAAAATATTTTTAAAAAACTTAATACAAAATAAGATAATATTTTATTATAGACATTTCTTTGAATGCAGTAGAATTTTCTGTGATGAATAGTTATTATTTATAATAACTAACGTGTTTTGTGAATGTTATAATGAATTGGTGCTTAAATGCTATTTCAACCATTTTTTTTTAAAAACAACAGGCAAGTAAACGTAATAAAATCATAAACTAATGTAACGAACTAGTTACATTTTGGTATTTTCGCTTTTCATTTTGGAGAAGTATTGTGAAATAGACAGAACAAAATATTCAAATTTTATTTATCGCTTACTACTTATTATGCGTAAGAACATGTTAGAATTTACATTGCATAATATTTATCGTAGGTTTTATGCTAAAACGCATGTTGAATTTTTCGCATATATTTTTGTTCATTGTAAACACATTATCAAAACAACTTATTGTATGTCAGAAAAGTCGTGGAGATTAAAACATCACAATTTTTTGAACAATGTCATGACATGGGAGCAGAAGTCAACTTTGAGAGGAGCAACAACCGATTTTACTTCACAAACTATCAGGTACTCATTCGTCAAAAACTGAATGAGTTTAAAACTACTACAAAAACGGCACCGAAACTACAACGAACCCCAGTCGCTTACAAGGACAGCTTAGTTCCTAACCATTTGTACCGTAGCAGTTTCCTTATGTCATTTCAACATTATGTACAAATATGATATTATTAATGTAAAGAAATAATTCGTGAAATGACGTCTTTTTATTCTTCTCTATTGGCCCCAAAACTTTCATCAATTTCTTCAAAGTCTTCCATTTTGCTCTCTTTCTCTCCGAGGTGTTCCAGTTGTTTATTTTAAGTGCCTCGGAATCTTCATCAACACATTCTATCCTCCTTAATCTAGACAAAGTCGTGGTGTTAAGTACATTGCATAGTAATCCGATGCACAGTAAGATATAAATGTTTGTAAAGGTAGTCGCTAAATAGTTTTACTAATTCCAAAAAAAAAAATAACTACAAATTAAGATATCTAATCAGTCATAAAAACGTAACTTACATAAATAAACAAGCATTTTTTTTATATTTTGTAATCGGATTTGGAGCTTACTCCCAAAAGAAGGAAATGGTTTACCACAGTCTAGAAAATATTGTTCTCCTAGAAAAGCGTTTTAAGATTTTGTCTCAATTAATGCGATCAAGGTCGAAATCTCTGAATGTGATAAAAGCAAAAGTGCAGGTGTTCGATTTTCTTATTTTTTATTTATGTCTTTCACACGAGAAAATATGTGTCTCTTACACTTTAAGTGTTCTGCACTACAGACGATAAGTCACTGATTGAAAACTAACAACAAAACCCATCAATCAGATTGCAGAAAATTATTTTAATGACATTTTACTGATATTCTAATTTATTTTTCCAATTATTGGTTAACGAAAAAAATTTAGTAAATATCTTATTGGAAAACCTTTTAGATGAATGTGTCTTACACATGTGTTTGTTTGAGTTATAAGCCTCCTGAATTCAAATATTAATTTTGTTGCAATTTTTTTTCAGAAAATATGATTTCTTTTCTTTTTTATTAAAGAAACTTTCTCGCACGAACATTTCAAATTTATTACTGTTTCTCACTACTGGTGTAATAGCTTGTTGTTCATTATACTTAAAATTAATGTGCATAACTGTTAAAAACATATTAGAGGGATTTTATTTTCAATTAAAGGTATATCAATGTCATTTCTGCCTTACAAATATAGTTCACCTACTGTCTGGAGCAATGCAAATGATGTAAAATAAATAAACGAATCTGGTATCTAGTTAAAAATATTGGAGCATGTTGAATCGTTATATACTTCAAATATTCCTCAAATATTGACGTGATGTTAAGTCGAAATATCGCACATTTTAAATTTGATTTCAACATACAGATTACCCATAGGTGGACTGACTGATTTGAAAATTAAAAATCGCAAAACAAAAGGTTCGTGTAAAGGTTGTTACATTTTTATGCAGAAACTTAGAAATTTAGTAACAAAAGTTGCCAACAGATGACACTGAATGCTGAAAAGAAGTCTTGAAAAGAGTGCAAATGCCGTAAGGTAGTAATCTAACATGCGATGTCTTGGTATCAGGAACACACTTTGTTCAATATAATAGTTGGTTTAAACTACCTTATCCTTTACTGCAATTTTCTTTTACGTTTTAAAACTGGAACTGATTATTTTGATCATCAGTGGTTATCAGCCCAAAGTATTAACAACTTTTGTAGCAAATTTCTAAAAATTTTGTTAAAAAATATTTACAGCTTTTATATGAAACATGCCACTTATTTCTTTCCATAATCACCATTTGTTTAATTAATTTGATTAATTTTGAAATCAGTTATCCCTTGCTGGACAACTTCAATGGAGTCCTACAGTCCAACTACTGACTACTGAAAATGACTAACTACAGTTCAACTTCAACGGAGACGTGGTTAAATTAAATCCCATGGTTAAATAACTAAAATGGTGCAGCAAGTATGCACCATTCATGGGATCATCACCGCGTAATGGATTAAGGTATATTGCTCTGGGTTAAAGTAGATTTTATTTGTCTGAGCGTGTGCAATATTTCTCAATAAACAGACAGGTTTAAAACGCTGAGAAACTCATTGGTTACGTTATTTAAAAATTCACAATATTCTTAGTGATTATTGAGTACCCACTTACATATAAGTTAAATTGTGGCAGTCATCTACTAATTACTTCCTGATAAAAATTATGCTTCCTTCACCAATTATTTTGTAATGAAATAAGTCTTATTTGAAACAAATAAATTAATTTTAGAGCAAGCATCAATTCATCTTAACTGCATCATCATTATTAATCAAATATTTAAAATTAAGAACTATTATGTTCTTAACTCAAACATTTAAAATACCTGTTCAAGAAGTAAGCCCCTTAGAACTTAGCACGAACTATTTTGAAGTTGCACTGAAGACGGTTATCTCTGACTTCTCAATAAATATGAATGTTTTATCTTTTATGGCATTATCAATGAAAATTTCTCATTGGTGTTCCACCACGCTTTTACTCATTTTTGGGTGAATTGCAATGCTTTAAATTTATTAAATAGTATACGATAAATTGAATATGATTCCTCAATAGCTCTAAAAGTTTTGTTATGATGCATTCAAGTAAATACTTTATAATCAGTCTTCTCTCTTCATGATTTGCAGATCATTCATTCGTCTATCACTCATGAAACATTTTGAATACGAAAAGCATCCATCAATCACATTATAAAAAAAATTTTTTTTTTCATCAAGCACTTTATAAAAAATTAAGAATATCCTCGTCATCAAATGCTTTCTAATACTGGTGGAATATATATATATANATGCTAAGCTATATATATATATATATATATATATTCTTCTTAAATGCTTAAAAACATATATTGGAATAAAAATAAAAGAACGAGGCATTTTTGGGAATAATTTGATACCTTTGGAAAGTTAGATTTTTTTTGAGGATAGTTTTTTGTTTTGAATTTTAGGTTCCGTTACGGGTTTTTCCATTTATTGTGCAAGGTCATTATTACCCGTTACAGGTATTTTAATTTAATTTTGTTTAGTTTACGCGTCTAAACTAAGCAAAATTAAATTAAAATACCCCTAACGGGTTAGTAGTAACCCTACAAAATAAATGGAAAAACCCGTAACGTGATAGTATGAACCCGTTACGGGTTTTGTGCGGTTGTCAAAAATAAATGTGGTTTTATAAAAATAGAACTGTTTTTTTCTTTATGTAGCTACACATATTGCAAAATTACAGATTTTTATCCAATTGTTTCAAATAGATCGAGAATATTTTATTCATCAAACATATAAAATGATCAAATATCCACGAAATAATTGAAATCTCGTAAATTTTCAACTGGCTAGAGCTTTTTGTTTTGAAAAGAAAAACAAGGAAAAAAAATTATGTTTCTCTCTTTGTTTCTTGCAGGAGAGTGCGAAACTAATCGAAAAGATATAAGAGGTCCATTCTTCAGGAATGAACCACCGGCAAGAGTAGAATTCTCAAATAGCAGTGGAACAGAGATAAGATGTAGTGCCGATGGCTTACCAACTCCCAAGATATCTTGGCAAGCCAGAGACGGTAGTTTGGTAAAGGACATATCAGGTTTAAGACATTTACGTTCGGATGGAACTTTAGTCTTTCCGCCATTTTCAAGGTCCGACTATAGACAAGATGTGCATGATGCAGTGTATCAATGCTCAGCATCGAACACAGTCGGAAGTGTCATTAGCCGAGAAGTGCACGCTAGGGGAGGTAAGCAAATGCTTCAATATTTTTTTTATTTATTATTCTTTGATTTAAAAAAAAATTAAGTATTTATATCAGCTTTAAAATTGGATTTGTTTTGTTTCTCCATTTATGAAGAGCAATAAAGTTTTCACAATTCTTGTAAGAGGAAATTATTTAAATATGAAAAATTTCCAATTTATGTTAATGATTTTCAAATAAATATTTGGTTTGTTCATTAAAAAAATTTTTTAAACTTATATTGAACGGAAATGTATCTGAAATATATCGGTTAGTCAGTTTTTTATTCCTACGGGATTATGAAGATAATGGAAAGCGAGAAAAGTTATGGGGCGATAACCTTTGAATGTCTCAAGAACTTTTCAATGTCATTGTTGCTGTTAATTTCAAATTTTCTAGTCCTCTTGTTTTTGTTAATGTCCCAGTCATTCGAAATTTCGAAATTATAATAACATAAAAATAATATCTATCTATCTATCTATCTATATATATATATATAAATATATACNAATTAAAAGCTTAGGCAAACAATTATTTTTGTAATTTTACATGGATAATCGCTTTGTAAAAGTATCTACACAGAAAAGAAATCATAAAATATTATTTTTAAGGGATTAAATTATATCAAATAGTGTACAATATATTGGAAGCTGGGTTTCAGATGGTTAAAAGTATATATATATATATATATATATATATATCAACAAACTCAAAGAGATGAAAATCAAAATAAAAATAAAAAATTTTTAAATGAGAAAAAATATAAAGCAAATTACATTTCAGTACTGCCATCTGCAAATAACCACTTTAATAAAAATGATTTGGAAAATTTAAGCAACAAAACCCTTAATGGGATGATAAATTAATAATTAAGTCGTATTTTACCAAATTGTTTAACTGTATCAAAATTACCCATCCTGTCTTCTACTAATCTCAATTTATAAAATACAACCAGCGGGTTTTTACAAGAGATACAATTTCACTTTAGAGAATGTCATATCTTTGCACTATTTGTCTCATTTTACGCGAAGGAACAAATATGAAAGCCAGTTTCCTTTCCAACGAAAACTACAAAAATATTCATATTATGCATTAGGTCTGATATTTTTATTCATCCATAATGCATACATTAATTGTACTGTTAAAAGGAATGGTATTTTATTTAGTTGCATGATTTACTTTTAAGCTGTTTAACTTATAGGTTAAAAACAATGCATCATAGATTGAAAATATTTTTGTTATGCCAATACGATGTAAATGCGTTACACTTTATTGTGCTTATATGTCATGTATTACTCAAGGTATACGCAAGCAATACGAAACGTTACGTATTATTATGACTAGGTGTGTTTTTTTTTCATAATTTTTAATCAGTTTCTGTTTTTTCAAAATTTTTTAATCCTAACTGTAAATAATTAGAGAAATTGCACATTGAGCTTGCCTTACGCTAAGCATACCAATATTCTTAACTTCTACCTTTTCAGTTCTCTGTAATTTGTAGATTAATTTTCCTGCTCGCGCTTTTAAGCTCAAATAGCGTTAGCCAAGGAGTTAAGGGGATCTGTTAAGCTTTTAAAAATCTCTGTTAACCGTAGCACGTAACGTATTTTCTTTAAGTTATGCGAGGTAATTTATTGAAATAATTTAAAGTTTTTACGTACGCAACATGAATGTTAATTTCTTTTTGCCTTAAAAAGATTGCTGTAAACCTTGTCAAAAAATTCTCAAACTGTTATTTAAAAAAAACTATCTAGAGCTGAGCAATAAAAAAATCCTGTTTGTAAAAAAGTTTATTTAAATAAAAGGAATCTTTAACATAAAAAGAAAATAGAATTAAAAGTTTATGCAAGATTTTCATATCTGCCAAAAATATCCGATTTGTACAGATGTCAAAAAAATGAAATTTCTACCAAAAAATACTTTTAAAAAATGTTTTCTAATTTTAAAAAAAGTTTTCAAAGAATACAGATACAACGAAACAAATACAGGTACAAAGAAAGATTCTTTGTTTTTGAGGATTATTTGTAATGAAAATACAGTACAATATTTCAAATAGTAATCGAAATGTTTTATTTTAATGCAGTTAAACTAAATAATATAAGTTACTGGAAAACAAAAAATTAGTTAATGGGAAAATTTAAATTTTATTTTCAGAGCCACATTAATTCTTCAAACTCTAACAAAAACTAAAATTACCCTCTTTTGATTCAGAAAAGATATTCATAAATGTTTCGTGTTAAGCCTTTGATAAAAATGAGTCACGAATTTACTTCAATGTTTTAAATTAATGTTTAGATTACTATGTTGCTAATCTTAATGTTTCCTCAATTAATAAACATAACGCTTAAAAATACTTTTTTTAAATGTTCAGTTTGATGACTTTACGAATAAGGAGCATTAAGAAAGCGAAGAAACTTTTAAGAAATATTTTTAATTAAGAAATTTTGAAGGAAATATTTCAGTTTAAGCATTTTTCTTGAAAATCCATTTTGTGTACTTTTTGTTTAGATAAAATGAAAAATAAAAACAAAAAAAAATCAGCACATATCTATTAGCTTGCTGTAACTATTTGAATAAGTATAAGCGCATTGTTTATTCAAAACAAGAAACGAGAAATTTATTTTATACTCGCAAGTGGAAAACGAATACATTTTTTGTGTTTTTCTGAATTTTTCGACACGCAAAAGCGAAATCATTGAATATATCTTTAGAACAGTAGTTTAAGTAAAAAAAACGAGAAGGAATAGTTTATTAATGTTTATTTCGCGTTTGAAAAGTTTCCTTCGGCATTTTTTCCCTCCAGTTTTTGTTTACGAACTTCCATATTTTATTATCTTTCAACAATTGCGATAAACTCTTTCGACAAGAAAAACCGTTGTTCAAAATGTATAACATACATCAAAGCTCCAGAAATATGTAAATTAATGTTTGCGTATAACGATGAACAAATATACGTTCTTAAATCATTAAAACTGAGCTTTGAAGTAAAATGCAATTTAATTTTACTCTAATACACGGTGTATACATTAAATTTTGTTGAATACTTGAATTAGAATAATTTAATAAAATTTTGAAGTTTTCAGGTTAAGTAACTTTTTTTCTTTCTAAGGTACATTGTGCAAAAAGGATTTTTTTAACCGATTTTAGAGATGAAACAAAAAAAAAACTACTTGAAAACCAGCTTAAAAAAATATTAGTTTCTACAAGATTGTGGGGTGAGGAAATTACTCCAAATATCCATTGTATCGATTTCCGATAAAGTGGAAATAAATTACAAAACTTCAAAATAAATAAATTTACTATCAAAAGTATTACCAAGAAAATTTCTCACTTTTCTAACAGAAGAAAAATTACAATTTAAGTGGATAATAAGAATACTATTTATAAATTTTATTTATAATAGGTTAAAAAACTGTTCACTTGAATTATAAAAATAAATATTCACATAAGGAACGAAAAGCATTATTTGTTTTTATTTCATTTTAATTCTTCTCCTTTACTGTTTCAAATGCCTATGATGGACCTTGGTCTCCTTAAGAAGTTTTTTTCTCCGGTCTATTGTTTACCTGCAAGTGTTTTCGAAATTTTTTTTTGCAGTATATCTGATTCTAGCCATTTAACTATCTCAAATTTGGCTTGATTTTTCGAAAACCCGTTTCGAAACCCGTGTAAGGCACATCAAAATTTTTCATAGGTTTTAAATTTTTTTAAGATCATTTTTATTGATGCAACAATTTGCTTTGAATTTGAAAGAAAGTAATTGAGTTCCTTTGTTTAAAATTTTATGCTTTCTCCAGAGTCTGTTAAATACCAACAGTTCATTCTTTTGAGTATCTTCTTTATCTAAGGAGACTGATATTTTCGACCTGTTTTTTTCTCCTACAGGTGTAGCAACTCTATTGAATAGAGCATTTAAGAATACTTTGAAATATTACAAAGCAAACTAACCACTGTATAGTGCGAGCATTCTAGAATGTATTTTTTTACCATTCTAGAATGTACTTTTTTACCATTCTAGAATGTACCTGCCAGGTTTTCCATTAATTTGGTACCAACTCCTGTTCCCATATATGAAGTTTTAAACTTTTGTTTTGTAAGTTCTGTTTTATTCTTAGCCATTTAACTATCTCAAATTTGGCTTGCTTTTTTTTCGAAAACCCGTTAATCTAGCATAGAAGTTTTTTTTTCTTTCTTGGTATAATCCTAATGGCAAGGCCTGCCCGTTTTATTATTTGAAGTGTGATGAAATTAACGATGTCCGGTTCTTTACACGAACAATGTGGCTCTAAGATTTTAACCTTACTTCGTTTTTTTGTATATCACCTTCGATTGCATATGTTTCTGAAGATCTTTTTAAAAACATCTACTTTAGTTCAAGTCTCGAATATGTTAAATCTGATCTTTCTTGATTTGTATATAGCAAAATCTCTATTTTCCTTAGGATTATAATTGATTTTAAATATTGTTCATTCATTTTATTCCATTTCGTATTTTATTGATTAGAGTTTATTATTCTTCTTTGAATTTCTACGGTAATGTTATTCCTTATACTAACTAAGCCTGAGTCCAACTAAACAAAGCTATCAACAATTTGAAATATATCTGCACCAATTTCTAAATGTGAATAATTAAATTTTATTTTTGTACAAGACATGTACTAAGATTTATTCCTTTATTATTATTAAGTTGTCCCCTCATAAGAGACTCTTATAACCTTTCCCAGTAATAAATTAAAAATAACATATGGAGAAGCATCTTCATATCGTCTAATTTAAAATTGGTTCTCTCTTTTTACTGCCCTTTATAATGAATTTTAGGTGTATTTAGTGTAAGGCACATCAAAATTTTTCATGGGTTTAAAATTTTTTAAGATCATTTTTATTGATGCAACAATTTGTTTTGAATTTGACAGAGAGTAATTGAGTTCCTTTGTTTAAAATCTTTTGCTTTCTCCAGAGTCTGTTAAATACCAACAGTTCATTCTTTTGAGTATCTTCTTTATCTAA